CTTCTTCTGGAAGGTGGGGCTTGCCTTGGTCTTCCTTGGACACATCCCGCCCTGCTCCAGATCAACCATTTCCCTGGGACAAAACCAATCACCGAATTCCAATGGGAAGGAGCAGTGTCCTTTCCATCAATCAATCCCCAGGCTTAGCAATAGCCGGACTATTTCTCTATGCATCTGCATCTATCCCACTTGGAAAACATCACAATCGTTTCGGCACCTCTGTGCCTTCCTAGACTGTAACCAGGCTCCTGAGAGGGACTCAGGAGTGTGTCCCCTGCACTCTTCCCAACAGGCTTTCCCTCATGGAGACTTAGGGTTATCCGCACGCACTGCGTCCTTCCCTCCACACACCCAGTGACAGTAGCCCCGGGAACTGCATTCACCCACGTGGTCTCTGCCTTAGGGAGGAGCTGCAGGGCTGGAGCACTCTCTGAACCCTGGGTCTGATCATCAGGATCCCGGGGCACCCAGACGGTCAGAACTCCTGTGCTCCGAAGGCCCACGCTGGCTCAGGACTTGGGATGGGTCCCTGTCCCTGTCCCTGATACTGCTGGGCAACCAACTTCTCATGCAGGATGTACATAGACAGCTAACAGGTGGGCACCTGGTGCCAGGCCCTGCCCTAAGCACTTTGTTGGCTCATTCATTGGCACCACCTTGTAAAGTCAGTTTATTGCTGTTTTACTCCCTTAACAGGCCCAGAAAAGGAGGAGGCACAGCTGGAATTTGAATCCAGTCACTCTGGTTCCAGAGTGTTCATTTAAGCGCTACATACAGCTCAATAAATAAGACCCTCTTCTGGGTGCCTTGAATTCCGCTCTTACAATAACCTGGCCTGTTAAGATGAAAATAAGTTAGATATAGCGATGACTTACTGTTTGCAGCCCGGAGGACCCAAAGGTTTCCTTTGCATGTTGTCTGTTGGCTCCCGCCTAAGCTCCTGGCCAGCGCCTCAAGCCTGCCTGTCAATAGCCGCACACCTGCCTCAGCACAGGCACCGAGGCGCCTCCTCCTCGCACAGGTAAGCCTTGCAGGTGTTGCCCGGACCTCGTATCTGATTCCAGCACTGGCTCCCTCAGTCTGAATTCTGGCCAGCAGGCTCAAGCCTGGGTGCCCCCACCTGGACCATCCTGCCAGCAGAACCTCACACAGGACTCTTAGGAAGCACCTGAAATCAGGTACTTTATTATAGCAGGAACCACCTTTATTACAGTAAGAACTACCTTTCTATCTTCTCTCACACTGAGATAAGGTAACCAGTCTGGGACAAACAGGTATCTAGAACCCAAATCCTGGCAGACCCAGCATGGTTAACAAAGCATCTTAATGAATGAAACACAAAACTGATGTAATTATTTAATGACATGGGAAAATAACGTTATAAAATAAGCTGTTCACAAATAGTGGGTAGAGAATTTCACTTTTGATAAAAACATTTAATGTATATAAAACACTGGAAGGATATATAACAAAATATTCAGTCTTTATTTCTGTTCAGTGATTAAATATTCTTCCCTTTGCTTTGTATATATTTTTGAAACGTGATTATTTCTGAAAAAAAGAAAAACAAGTTACTGGGTAGAGAAGCAGTTGTTAAATGTCAGGAGTCCAGCAATCCAGGTCTGCACCTGCGCAGGCCCTGACATGACAGTGGCCAGGCAGCCGCAAGATCCCATCCCTCCCGGTCCCTCCGGGATGCTCTCCATCCAGCGGTTTCCTCTCCATCTGACGTTCTCAGTGTCCTTGTATTTCACAAGAGTCTACAATATCAACAGGCACAACAGCAAGCGATGCCAGCAACTTTGGTTTTAAATTGGAATAACCAGTTGCAGTTATGGAGCACAGTAGAAATAAAACATAAAACACAGATCAGGAGTCCCACAGCAGAAAACCACATGTGACTAAACTCCTGCCCTTTCTGACCCTGCTCATATTTCATGGATCTGGAAAAAGCAATTTTTTTTCTCCAAAAGATGCTTTACCTGCTAAGGAGTCGAGTTGGAAGAGCTCACTAAACCCCAAACAAGCCCCACCGGAAACAAGGCGGGTGTCGTCACTTTGTCCCCATTTGTTTTAAAAGGTCTTTGCTAATCACCACATGGAGCAGCAGACACCACACCTGCATCGGTGTAAATGAGGCCAGAAATCTCAGCTCTCCTCCAACTCCAAACCGGCATTTTACTCAAAGCACAACACCTCATGTTTCTTGTTCTTGAATCAAAACGGGGAAAGGCCATTATAAAATCTGGCGTATATAAAAACCCTGCCACCTTTAGTTGAAGGTGCTTCTTAGGTACTTCCAAAAGCTCTCTGTCCTTTCACACGGCAGCATTTTCAGGAGGGATCAGGAACTACCGTTAAGGTCTAAGAAACAACAAAACAAAAAACCCAGACAGTTTCCTGCACTGTCACCCCAAACTGCCTCCAGTGTACTGGGTGACCTGCCCGTTTCAGCAGGTTGCTATACCAATTCATGTCGAAAAAATATTCAGACACCAGAAGAAAAGGTACAAAAAGAATTAAAACAATGACAGATGAGATTAAAAAAAACAAAACTTAACCTCAAAATACCCTTTAATCACAACAAAGACCAAAAACACCCCTTTGCGCTGTCCTTGGGAAATCAAGACAAAATGAACTTGTTTTTGTTTTATGACTCAACATAAACAAGACTTGCTGGAAATAGTGCTCATTGCTTGCACTCCTTGCCAATTTACACTCTTGTTAGATCAGTCCCAATCCTACAGTCACAAGTCCTTGTTAGAGCAAGAAAAACCACTCCTCTCAGGACTAAGCCCCGAAGGTGGAAGGATGTCTTCAGTGAGAGAACTGCCTGCCGTCGGAAGACTTCTTGCTAATGTGCTTGAAGATTTTGGACTTCTCCACTTTCTTGGGCTTCTGGTAGCCGAACCCGCCGCCGCCTCCTCTCTTCTTCAGCTTGCCTTCATTGCTGTTCACGTCTACAGGTGCACGTTAAGGAAATCAAGCAACACAAAGATAACACTCCAACCTGACATCGCCACGGGGAACCAAGCAGCACACACCCTGTTGTCCCTCCACCTCACCCTCCCTGAACCACGGAAACGTGTAACATGAGCCTACACAACACATCTGCAGGACATCAGGAGTGCCCTGTGACTGTGGACTAAAATTAGGGGAATAAATGTAAGTCCAGTATATTAGTCATTCATTACTTTCTCCACACAATAGAACTCAAGACAATTACCTGTAAGAAATAAAGAGGTAAATCAGAAAGTTTATAGTAACACAAAATATACTTCCTGTGTCAAAACAAATGACTTTCACCTCCACTGGGGCTGACTCAGGAATGCCTGAACAAGTGAAGATTCAACATGTAGGCGTTTACTCAACGCCCACAGGGATGCAACCCAAATCCGGCTTTCTCCTTTAGGAGCTATGGTCCATCATTGATGAACAGGCCTGCTTTAGCTGCTGTTTCTTCTGATGAAAATGTGATTATAAATTACAACAGAAGCAACTGAGATACCCCCTGTGCCTTTTATCTTGAGTAGCACTTAAGTTTTCCTTTCTTTTGCTGATCTTGCAACTTCCTTGTATGAAATCCTTTAATGGCTCTAAGGTTAGAAGCTCTTTGAAAGGTTCCGTCTTCTCCCTTTGGCTTGAGGGCATCCAGACCTCACACAGCTAATCCGAACCCGTACAGCAGCCGAGCCCTGCAATCCCCCGCCTCTCCCCAGACTGCACAGCTTCCTCGGGCTCTGCCAGTGAAATTCCTTTGACTTTTCTAAAGGCCCAAGTCATAACGTGCCATGTTTCTGTCAATCTCACTCCTGTCACTATCCCGGCCTGACATGCAGTGACCAGGCTGAGCACCGTGCCTCCATTCCCAGCCAGAGCACGTACCCACCCACCCGATGCTAAGCCCAGATGCCCCGCGCAAGCTTTTGTCCCATAATTCCTGCACCAATTCATCACAACAAAGAAAAGGATACTCAGATCAACAAAAGGAGGCACCTTGAAGCCAAATGACAGAGCAACGTGAGGCAAATTT